AAGGGAGCAGCAAATGAAGGGAAAATGGCATCTTACGATATTTAATCTCTTCCTTGTTTTCTGCCTGACATTCCCCTGTTTGCTTTCCATCTTGTCCCCGTGGAGTTTGCGTCTCCATCCCCCAGGTGAATGATGTTGTCCTATCAGACCCCCAAAATTTCTGTCTTCCCACAGAAATGCCTTTCCCTGCTTTTTCCCACGGGATGACAAAGAGCAGAGACAACAGGGACCTCCGGATAAAGCCCTGGGGAACATGCCAGCGGAGGTGGGGAGGTCTCATGTTGGGTGGTTAGCGTGCAGGTCTTGGAGGACATGGGTGACCAAAGATTTGAGCTGCCCAGGAGAGCCCTTGGGTGCATTAATTCATCACGGGGTGGTGAAGAAAGATGGGTGCAAGGCACTGGACCTCAACTTTCTGGTAGCTCAAGTGCCATATATGACCACGTGCTGCCTGGTGGGACCCCATGGGAACCCCAGCATAGGCTGGGCACCGGGAAGGGTCCCTGGGAGTGGGGAGGCTGTGCCACTCGTGGAACAGATCCCCTCTTCACGCAGGAGGATGTGGGCATGGTCTCCAAGGAGCCCACTGGAGGAGAGCACCAGAGGGAGAGGAGCCAAGGCAAAGCAAAGGGTTGGCTGCGGTTGTGTCCCGGCTGGGCTTTAGCTGAGTGTTTGTCACCAGCAGAGCTGGAGCAGCCTTGCAGGGGGGGACATGGGGTGGGCAGCCTGGCTGGGGGTGAAGTGAAGCACCGTCCCTTTCCAAAGGGGGTTGTGTGACATGACTTGGTGGAGTACTAGGTCCACTCCATGGTCTAGGAAGTGTTTTTCAGGCTTGTGTGGATGCAGAGCTCCTTCCCAATTCTGCCTGGATTTAATGTGTGACTCAGTTTACCCACGTGCGGTATGGGGTATATGTGCTATGGGGTTTGCTTGTAACCTCATGTAGAACTAACAGAAGGACTAGCTCCACGTGGATGCAAACAGGATGGTTCCTTGAATGTCTTGGGGGCTGAAGACCCTGGGTGAGAGCTCTGAGGCTGAGCATTCAGGTGTCCTGGTGGGTCTGAGGTCCATCCTTCTGCCTGTGCAGCAGCCCGGCCCTGAGGCTCTCGCTGCTTCCAGTTTTGTCTCGTGGGTGGAAAGTGGCCCTGCAGCTTCATTTGGCCACTCAAAAAAATATCTCATTCTCCATAAATCCAGCCTGAATTATTTTTCATGTGATTTCTGGTCACTGCTCCAGCAAGTGTCAAGGAGGGACTTGTTTGCAGGTCCTGCATGGCCCTTGGTGGGGCAAAGGGTCTCCTGGCCATCACCACTAACCCTGCTGTCTGCACGTTTCAGGGACAACCTTCTCTGGACACCCGTCTGCGGGAGGACTGCGGTGCAGCAATGAGACTCGGTCCCTGTCCGGCCAGCTGGCACGGCACAGGGAGGCTGGACATCAGGGTGCTGCCTCTCTCCCTGATGCCAGCTGCGCTCTTTCTCCTCCTCCTCCTTCTCCTCGGCCCCACCGGTGAGCTCCCACATGGGGCGGCGGGAGGGGGGGTAATTTTAGGCACCCACAATCTCCCTCCTGGCCTCAGATTTGTGGGCAGGAGATTTTTCTTCATGGAGAGCCATGAGCAGGAATATCACGATGTCCCCAACGGCATAGAGCGTGCATGGGGATGGAGGGAGCAAGTTCAGCTCTTATCTCCCAACATGACCTATAGGTGATGGCAAGTTCAGCATTCAGGGCTGGCAAGGCGGCTGGAGCAGGCAGCTGCCAGCACTGGGGATGGCACAGGTCTGAGCCCCAGAGCAGGCAGCGCGGCTGGGAGGATGCTGATGGCCATGGGCTGGGAACTGGGGGACCAATCCTGCTGAGGCAATGGGTGGGATGAGCACCCGTCCCCTGAGGACACCGGTCCCGAGTCAATCGTGGCAGGCACAGTCCAGCCAGGCTGGGAAGCATGTAAATTGAATTGGAAAAAGCCATTCCTGCTCTCGAATGAGGGTCTGCACGATCGCTGTGGCAGCATAATTATCCTGGTGTGACTTTATCAGTGTAATTGCAGCCAGGCGGTTGGTAACACCTTCCTGCCTCAACAAAGCCCTGCCAAGACAAAGCCAGCCAGAAAGCAGGCAATTAAGGTGTAGTCACACACCGTAATTGGATTAAATCGGGTTTTATAGTTCCCACCCCATCAGCTGGAGATTCCCGTCCCCCCTCCAAGCTGCTGGTGGCCGTGCTGGCACCCACAGTCGGGGTGTGGGGACCCTGGGGGACCCGTTGGCTCTGCCACTGTCCCCTGCACTGCCAAGCTCTTCTCTTCAGCAATGGGCACCGCTAAATCACTAATGAAGGGCGATTTGTCCTCCCATTTGGTGGTTTTATTTAGCACTGTGCCCTGAAAGGGATGGTGTTTACTTGAGCTAGTTTCCCCTTTTCTTTTGGCTTTGTGAAGCTGGATCAGAGGAACGTGGAGGGCTCTATCTCTTCTCAGAAAATACTGGTTTCTTCTCGTTCCTCATTAATGTAGATACACCAGGCATATTTTTTTCAGGTCTCTCTTGACTTTGCTGGAGGATGCTCTCAAATGAATATTTCAGAGCTTTGATTTTGACTTAAAGGGAGATGAATATTGAATATTTAACAATGTCCTTTTTATCCACTGCTTTTTCGGCACTGGAGCAGACTAGGTGTTAAAAATCAATACAAACCAGGATCAAACGCTCTTCCTAAAAAGCCTCGCATCTCCACATGTTTGGTGCAGAGGTGATGTGAATTACCTCTCTTCTGTTATCCAGCCCACGGGGCTGCCGTGTCCTTCCCCGTCCTCTCCTCTGCCAGCCAGCCTCTCTGCTCCCTTGGTCTGCCCTGTTTAATCCCCAGTTCTTGCTGGTATCGCAGCATTGCTTTCCAACCTGCCTGGGTCCAGCTGGGGTGGCTGGAGAGGGCAGCAGCACCCAACCACGGCTGGAGATCTCCCGGCTGCCGTCGTTCATCCCAGCTATGGATGGCATCTCGCTCCTAGCCCCTGCTCCTGGGTGCTAAGTCATAGTCACAGCCTTATTCTTATTTCTCTTGGGGCTTCTAGGTCTTTCTTTGGCAGCCTGGTTTTGGAGCTGACTTAACTGTCTCCGAGGCCAAGTCCTAGCAAGGCAAAAGGGAGGTGGGTTCATCTGCTTGACCGTCCCCTCCAGGCTGATGCTGCTTCTCACGGCGGTGACATCCACCTCCGGAGTGGCAGGAACTGAGCTTCACGTCATTGCTTGTAGGCTGAGCATGAAGCAGGACAAGGCTGGTCCAAGCCAGGGGTAGGAAAAGAAGCCATGGAGCCACCATGGGCATTGATCAGCCCTTGGCTGCTGTAATTAATGTGGAAGGATTTTATTTGCTTAGAAGGTGTTACCCGCGGTAGAGGGCTGTGCAGCCGGAGCCTCGAGCCCCAGGTGCCCTGGATGCCCGAGGAGATCTGTGCTGTCCTCGCTGCGAGATGGCCTCAAGCATCTGCCGAGGGCTTGCAAACTCCTGGGGCACCCATAGGTGCAGCGATGGGGACATCCACAAGGTCCAGCCACCCGTCCCCATTCACCATCCCCCAGGGCATCATGATCAGGTTGCCGTGATCCCCTGGACAAGCTGGAGACCTCAGTGCCCCATGCTGGCAGCATCCCAGGGGGGACCCCCATCACTCAGAATTGGGGCTGAGAGGGGTTTTGTGCCCAAAGAACACCCAAACTGTGGGAGAGGGGTGCAGCCCGGTGGGGGGAGCAGGTTGCCGGCGGTTGGCTCTTGCCCATGCCCCCCCCCGAGCATCCATACCCCCGGGTGTGGGGCTGCTGGCAGGGTGCTTTCAGAGCCCTTATTTAAACCCAGCTGACTGGGATGTGGATGCATCCTGCAAGTGTTCAGCTCCCTCCAGATGCTGCTTGTCCACGCTGGTCGGAGAGGAATGAGAATTAAACGGGAATTAAAGCCCCGCAGCAGCACTGTTTCTCGTGTGGCCAGGCAGCTGAGCCCCAAGGCAGGAATCACCAGGGGTCTGTCTGCATATCGCAGAACCTGGAGCTGCCCTTCCTCAGCTGGCTGGGATCGAGAGACCCTATCCTGACTTTCCGACACCTCTGGATTACACTAGCCCCAGCCCTGGCTCTGCCTCACGCTGCAGGAGACCAGCAGCTTCCCCTGGATTTACCCCCACCGCTACACAAAAGCAGTTTTGTTTAATCGAGAAAACAAGGGAGGAGTCCATCCTCTCCCTGCTCTTGCTCGCTCTTCTCCAACAAGCTCCTTCCCAGCTGTGGGAGGACATTTCTGCAGCAAACTCTTGATAAGCCCTTGGCAGCATCGCCGGGGCTCCGATTACTGGGAGGGCTGGGTTCCCAGTCAAGGAGCCATGGCTATGCTCCGTGCTCCTCTCCTCTCCCTCCCAGTTTTCAATGCACCTCTTCTCCTTGATGGTACCACCAGTGGCTGGTGCAAGATGCCACGTACCCCAAAGGGTGGCAGGTGAGGGGACAGACGCCCATGCCTGTGTCCCCCCACACCAGTCTGGTGCAGCTGGACCCACTGGTGTTCTACGGGCCGTGGCCCTGCGTGTGGGCTGCAGAGCAGGGCTCACCCCGGGCACCGCAGCAGGCAGCACGCTGCTCTGCCCACGCCAGAAGCATCATCCTGCCCGGTGGCATGCAGCGGTGGCTGCCTGCGGTTCTCCAGCGCTGACTGTTTCCATCCCGTAAGGCGGCTGCCCCCCATCAACAGGTGTGTTGGGACATGCATATCAATATAGAGCTTGCAAACAGTAGACTTTGTCGGGAAAAAAAAAGAAAAAATCATTTAAAGTGCACAGAGGGATGCCCAGTGCAGCTTTTTCCATCAGATCTCAAACAGGTTTCCCGTGCCAGGCAGGACTGGTTTTCCTCATTCCCATCTCACCCCCCCAGGTTTTCCATAGGGAGGTGGGGCACGAGGCAGGAGGATGCAGGAGCTGTGCAGGACCCACAGCAAGTCAGCGATGGAGCCGGGGAGACACGAAGGTCCCCGAGACCTGGCCCAAGGCACAACCCACCTGGGGCCGCTGCTGCCAGCCACCGGCTCCGACAGAGGAGCTGCTGGCCCGAGATGAGGGGAAGGAAGGAAGGAGAGGGGGAAGGAACAGCCAGGGAGCTGCTCGCTCTCAGGGAGCTGGTAAGGGCAGCCCTTGGCACCCCTCGGCCACGCTTCATCTCAGGGAGCTGCACGAACCCGGGTGAACCATGCTGCTGCCTCAGTTTCCCCACCTGCAATGCAGATGAAATGATGCCCTGGGCTAGGGTGTTTATTTTTTCCCCCCCAAACCTCAGGTCTCTGCAGAAAAGGGAAGGGTCTGAGGGTGTGCTGGGTCTTGCTGTTCCCAGCCATGCCCACCCGCATCCCTGCTGTCGTCATCCTCTGAGCTGCATCCCTCCTCTGCTCGCTGCGAGGATGCTGGGGAGATCTGATCCCTTTTCTTCTCCCTTGCAGGCACCACCTCCGAGTCTGCTCTGTCACCATTCCCAGGTGAGATTCTTCTCTTAAAGTTGCTTTTCTCTAGAAGTTTTGTTGAAAAATGCATTTTTTTGTTAAAAATGGGGTTTGGAGAATTTCAAAAAGGAAGGATATTGGTTTTGAACAAAAAGTAGCAACAAAAAGCTAAACTTCTTTTACAGAAAGGAAATACAGATTCTTTATTATCCCTGTTCTGCTTATTATCCCAAGAGAGGTATTTTGCCGCCTCCTGCTGAGTGCCTGTCCCTGTGCCATTCGTCATGCTGAGCAAATAATTCCCTTGATGTGGCAGGCTTGGGCCACTTACGTGCCTGCTCCCCATCACCAGCAGCTTGAAAGATCATCTCTATCCCACTAACTCCCATGTGGGACCAGCTCCGGACACGTTCATTGAGGCTAATAAGAATTTGCTAATTGCATCTTGTCACTTGTCACTCAAGTCATATGGCATTACGTGATGTCACGTGTCTGCTTCCCTCCTCTCCCATTTGGTTATTGCCCAGGCCATTAGTAGGCAAGATGATGGGGTGATGGTGCATCTCATTTATGGACTGAGATATGTTGAGTCTCCACGTCCACTGCTTCCAGCAGATGAAGAGAAGCCCATGCCCCACCATCAGGTGGACAGCAGCAAGCCAACAGCTGCCTTGCGGTACAGCGAAGGGTCACCATTTTCTTTAAGGAGCACAGATTTGGTGCAGAGAGGGCTCCCGCCCTCCCTGTTGACACTCATTGAGTGTTTGCCACCTCCCAGTCCCGGGGCGGGCTCATTGCTTTCTGAGGAACCTCTCTCTGCCCGTCCTTCCAGAGATACGGCTCGCCAACGGGCCCAGCCGGTGCCAGGGGCGAGTGGAGATCCTCTACAATGGCTCCTGGGGGACGGTCTGCGATGACGACTGGGACATTGTGGATGCCAACGTGGTGTGTCGCCAGCTGGGCTGCGGTCACGCCGTCGCCCTCCCGGCCGCCATGACCTTCGGCCAAGGGAGCGGACCCATCTTCCTGGACAACGTGGACTGCAAGGGCCGGGAGGCAGCCTTGAGCGAGTGTTGGAGCCACGGCTGGGGCATCCACAACTGCTACCACTATGAGGACGTGGCTGTCGTATGCAACGGTAATGAGGCTCGGTTCCTCGGGGGCAAGGAGAACAGGGGGATGCCTGCGGTGCTGCACACCCTGGTGTCTGCAGATGCCTTGGGGGAGCTCAAGAGTCACATCTCAGAGCCCGTTCCTCTGAGCCTGGGTCGGCCAAACCTCCTTTGTAGCCTTCCTCCACCCCCTTCTTCAATCCAGGTCATCTCCCAGCTCAGCACACTGGTGTTCCGTAGGGTGACCAGCCCGTTTTGTCACTCCCAGCTCAGGGACTTTGCAACCTCTCCAGCATGATCCCTGGGGAAGGAGCACATGCCCACCCACGCTCCTGCTTCTGAGTCAGCCGCTGCCCAACTGCTCTTTCCCCTTTTGACTTGTCTTCTTTAAATTGCTGAGCTTGTCAGTAGGAAATGTTCCTAAAAGTGAGAAAAGCAGTGGAAAGCGTTTGAACTTGGCAAGTGAAAGTGGAACAGCTCCATGCCAACCCCTATATACCCTACACATTCCTCCTGCATAGCTATGTAGGGTTTGCTTATCAGCCATGCATCAACGACCGGTAAACGTGAGGCTGTGCAGGCCCAGAGCTCGGCCACAGCTGCAACTGCTTGGTGAATCTCTGTGTCCTGCAGAAGTGGGGCTTGGAAAAGGAGGGATGCTGGGTTGGCTGGTGGGTCAGACCAGCAGCAGCCAGAGAAAGGAGGTCGTGGACTGAGCAGGAAGCCTGAATCAAGGCGCTGCTGGAGAGGAGAGGTGAAAGGACTGAAGAAGGAGGTGGGGAAGATGGGTCTGAGGGCAGAAGAGTGGCTTGAGCCCTTAGGTGTTTGGAGCTTGGTTGGCAAAGGAGACCAGGAGATGCTCTGGGGTGGCCCTCAGAGGAGATGCAGGAGTTTGACCCAAGCACCAGACCCCTAAGGGAAGGTGCTCCCAGCTGTGCCACGTGGAAGCTTTCAAGAGCCAGCTTTCTGTCGGTTGTGGTTACGGAGGAAAGCGTGGAGCTGGCCAGCTCTTCGCCGTGTCGGTGGGCTGGGTTTCCCGGGATCCTTCCCGCAGTCCTTGAGCACGTGTGTGGCTGGCTATCAGACCGCTCGGCTCCACTGCCATCCAGCTCCCCGCACCACCCCCAGGTAATCTCACCAGCCCAGCCAAGGAGCTGGGACAAGACAGGCAGTGTGGTAGCTTGAAACACCATTGTTAGCAAAAGAAATAGAGGTAAAACAAGCAGGAAAATCAAAATATTACTCTTTTTTTCTTTACACGTGCCATGACTTTGAATCCAAATCCCATGATAGGTGGGAGCCTGACTCCTGACAGCTTAGCACAGCATTATGATTTAGTCCGGGTCCCTATGCCATGCTGCCTGGCACAACTTCCCACCGTGCCAGCAGCCGAGGTGCTGGCCCCATCCACCTTCCTGCCCCTACAACCAGGCAGATAGCTCTGGGCAGGGCGGTGCAGCTGCAAACCCCTCTTTCTTTCCCCATTGGGGGTGGTTTGGTGCAAACCCTCTTGTTTTCGGTGGTGCGTGCTTGCCGGCGCGTGTGAACGCTGGTGCCGGAGCCGGGGGAGCAGCGGGGTGGGCAGCGCGTGGGGCACTGCTCACAGCCGGCTTCTGGACGGGTGGCTGCGGGCAGCGACGGATGCCGCCTCTCCGCTTCCCTTTTCAGAGTTCTCGCCCACGCAAGCCAGCGAAGGACCGACAAGCAGGACCCTCACAGCCTCGGTACAGGATGGGGAAAGTAAGCTGCTCGGCTGTCGCTTGCAGGGGCCCGTCCTGGCTGAGGGCTGGTAGAGAGCAGCGTCCCCCACCTGCTGCCCCTCCATGAAGCACCCTGTCTCTCCGGCTCCGAGGGGCAGATCCCCGGGGACCCTGTCATGGCGCCGGCTATGGCCAAACCCTATCCCAGAGGTTCCCAAGGCTCCCAACAGTCGGGCTGCCCTAAAGCGTCACCCCTTCCCCCGCGGTTTCTCGCCCAGTTTCTTTGCCGTCACGGGCGCTGCCGGATCCAGGCTCGGTGGCATCGCTGTGCTGTGGTGCGTGCCGTGACCTCCCGGGGAAAGCAACGCCCTTCTCACCAAGTGCTGTCACCCTCCAGGTGACGGCAGCATCCGTCTGGTGAGCGGGACCGACACCTGCCAAGGCCGGGTGGAGATCTTCTACCGCGGGAACTGGGGCACCGTCTGTGACGACGACTGGGGCCTGAGCGATGCCAGCGTGGTGTGCAAGCAGGTGGGCTGCGGCCAAGCCCTGGATTACAAGAGCAACGCCTATTTCGGCTACGGCACGGGGCGCATCCTCCTGGACAACGTCAACTGCGACGGCAGTGAGCCCTTCCTCTCCGCCTGCTACAGCCTCGGCTGGGGCATCCATAACTGTGGCCACCATGAGGATGCTGGGGTCATCTGCACAGGTACCGGGGCAAAGCATCACCTTCGGGGCTGTCCCCTGGGGGGGGAAAAATCCAGGGGCATCCTGATCACCGAGGAGAAGTGGCCTCAGGGAGATGCTGCTGTGCCCAAGGTCAGGCAGGGACCCGGGCTCTGCGTCGCGGGAGCATCCTTTCTCCTTATCTGCCGTCATCCTGGCGCTCCGGAGCAGGCTGCGACACCACTCCGAGAGCCTGGGACGTGGCCTGAGCAGCAATTTGCAAGGGAAACGCATCTGCCGGCCTGCTGTTTCCCTGCTCTGCCGGCTGGAAAACAAGCTGCCCGTGTCCGGAAGAAGTGAGCGGCTGCCAGGGGCCAGGCATGATGCCAGGCCCAGCCTGCCTCCCCTTCGCCTCCCTAAATGATGTATTTCTGCCATTCTCCACTGATTACCATTTATAATGTTAATAATCCCCCTGAATTCCCTCATTATCACGGCTAATGACAGGAGCAGTAAGTGCCAGTGCTTTCCCTTTCCCACTACTAACAAACAAAGGGGCTGATGTGAGAGAAAAGGGACAATTTTCTCAGGCTTGTCCTTTCCTCCCTAAACGTCCCCGTCCCCTCTGCCACCTTGCCTGGGCACAGAGCCGATGGCACCCCCATGCACAACCCTGGCTCAGTGGGGCAGGGGAAAACCGAGGCTTTCGAGCTAACGAACCCTGCCTGATAAACCTCCCAGGTATGCGAAGCAAGACACCCCACGGCACTGCAGGTGGGACCTCGATGCTTGGGTTGGGGTGGAGAAGCACCATCTCCAGCACGTGGGCAGCAGGGATGTGCGGATGGACACGGTCCATCTGCATCCCCATCGACCCTGCGTCTGCCTCCCAGAGTCAGCAAGTTCATGGCTTTGCAGCTTCTCCCCCCATGTCACCTCTGTCCCTCTGTGTCACCGCAGGGCTGGACACATCCACCATCACGTCCTTCGCCACCTCGGTGGCCCTGGACTACGAAGAGACGCTCACTGCCACGGCCACAGGTAGGAGGTCGGCAGCCACCCAGCTCACCCTTGCACCATAGCTGGGGCTGGGGGCTCACTGGGAGGGGACCGTGCCTCCTGTGTCCTCCCGTGACCCCAGCACAGTCACCCTGGGGTCCTGCCGCACGTAGGTGAGGCTCGGGGGGTGACATTGCCCACGGCAAGAGCTTGCTATGGGGCCGCCGCGGTGCTAGAGGCCCCTGGCACTGACTGGAGAAGGACAGCGGGTGCTGGAGCCCAACCCCCCCCAACACCCGCGTGTCCCCACACTTGTCCCAGCAGTGACAGACGGCAGGGACCAGCCTTCCCAGGCCACCGAGGTGGTCACCTCCGCCCTCTTTACCATCGAGCAGGAAAGTAAGTGTGCGGCCGCTGCTAGTCCCACACAGGGTCCGGCACGGCCCCCCGAGCTCCATGTCCCTGGGGGGGTTACCCCATATCCCCAGGGCTCACCCTACAGCCCTGGGAACTACCCCATGCTCCCAGGGGACCTTCCGCATCCCCTGGGTTTACCCCATTCTCCCAAGGCTCACCTCCCATTGCCAGGGGATCTCTGGCACCCCACGGTTCACCCCATGCTCCCAGGGTTTACCCCACACCACCAGGCAGTTGCCCCATGCCCCCAGGACGTACCCCACCTCCCCAGGGCTCTCTTATGTCCCCAAGAGTACCCCAGGGAGTTACATCCCCAGGGCTCACCCCACATCCTCATGGCTCACCCCACGTCCCCAGGGCTCCCTCCATATCCCCAGAGGTTGCCCCACGTGCCCAGTGCCCCAGGGCTCATCCCACATCCCCAGGGCTCACCCCACATCCCCAGGGCTTACTCCATGCTCCCAGGGTGTTCACCCCATGCCCCCCAGGGGTTCACCCCACATCTCCGGGGATTACCCCATGCTCACAGTGCTCACCCCGTACTGCCTGGGAGTTGCCCCACGTCCCCAGGACTCACCCTATGTTCCCAGGGGATCAGCCCATGTCCCCAGGGTCTCACCCCACATCCCCAGGGCTCACCCCTCGCTCCCTGGGGGCTCACCCCATACCCCCGGAGGGTCAACAGGGGACATCGGACCCCCCGCGGAGCCCCGGTCCCCCCGACGGCGTGCCTGTGCCGGGGCCCCCCACGCAGGTGGCGGCGTGCGGCTGGCAAACGGGAACGGGAGCTGCCGCGGCCGGGTGGAGGTACGGCACCGCGGCACCTGGGGCACCGTCTGCGACGACGACTGGGACTTCCCCGACGCCCAGGTGGTGTGCCGGCAGCTGGGCTGCGGCGCTGCCCTCGCCGCCACCGTCCTCGGCTCCTTCGGCTACGGCAGCGGGCCCGTCCTGCTGGATAACGTGGGCTGCGGCGGCGGCGAGGCTCGCCTGGCCGACTGCTTCCACCTGGGCTGGGGGCAACACAACTGCGGCCACCATGAGGATGCCGGGGTCATTTGCCGAGGTGAGACCGGGAGCGAGCCCGGTGGCCACTTGCCTCCATCCAAGGGTCTTCTCTTGCCGGCCGGGTGGGAGAGGGGGGATGGATGAGACCGCCCAGGGGTCCCCAGGTCTCTGCTGAAGCCTGGCTCGGTGGCATGGAAATCCAACGAGATAATGGGCGTAGGGAGGATTTCGGCCACGCTCAGGCTGGCTGCGGGAAATGGGGTCCCCAAAATGGGGTGGCAGGTGGATGTGAGCCCCCAGACCCTGGGGTTCCTCCTGCCCACGGGGGGACAGCGGTGGCAGTTGAGTACCGTGGTGTCTGGTGATGGCCGGAGTGTGGGTACCACCTCTGGTCTCTGTTTGTGCACTTTCCTGGAAGTGCAGTGGCTGCAGATCCCACCCCACACATCCCTGCATCCATCCCCGGCCACCCCACACCACTGCTGGGGGGCTCTGACCCAGCCCTGGGGGGCACAGGCATCCCCTGAGTTGCTTTTCCCGCCCGTTCCCCACTGCACCAGGTGCTGACGATGCTGGAGACCATTACCAAGAAGCCACCGCTACAACCACCACATCGGCCCCGACTCATCCCAAGGATGGTAGGTATCAAGGTATCACCTGGGGATGGGGTACCAGCCCTGGGGATGCTCTGCACCGGCCCAGAGTGGAAAGGGAGGTGGCTCGGGCAGAGGCCAGCTGCTTTGGCAGTGCCTGAAGCACTGACCTGGAGCAGCCCCCAGGAGGGGGAAAAGCTGTGCTGGTAGCACTGTTAAGCCCTGGCCTCTCCTGGTGTCCCCAAGGCTGGTCCAGGCAGAGGAGGTGCTGGACCTCAGGTGATGGACCTCAGTGGGGAGAGGACGGGATGGACCAACGGGGCTGAGCCAGGAGCAGAGACTATTGTCTGTTCCTTCAACCTGAACATCCACCGCGGTGTTTTGGGGGTCAGCCCCAGCTCTGATGGTGGCCAGTGGTCACCCCCTCATGCTCCTGCCTGTGCAGAGGCAGCGGGGGAGCTGTGGGCAGCAGCAAACATCTGCCCAACCTCAGAGAGACCAGGGCTCTTCTTGCCCTGGGGCCACCTGGCTGGGAAAGGCCCCTTCTCCATCAGCCCTGGGGAACCAGACACGCAGGCAGGGAGAAGGTGGATGTGGTGCTGGGGCGGGCAGGGGCAGGGGCTGCTCCCGGGGCTGCCTCACCCCATTCCTTCCGTAGGGTCCCTGCGCCTGGTGAACGGCAGCCACCGGTGCGAGGGGCGCGTGGAGATGTTCTACCTGTCCCAGTGGGGGACGGTGTGCGACGACGCCTGGGACCTGCGGGACGCCAAGGTGGTTTGCAGGCAGCTGGGCTGCGGGTACGCCGTGGCAGCCTGGGGGGAGGCACGCTACGGCCAGGGCACCGGCTACATCTTCCTCGATAACCTCAAGTGCAAGGGCCACGAGCCCTCGCTGCTGCGCTGCTCCCACATCCGCTGGGATGTCCACAACTGCGACCACTCCGAGGATGCCGGTGCTGTCTGCAGCGTCCTGTGAGCGCCCGCCGGGACCCTCACGCAGGTACGGGGTAGGGGACGGATGGTGGAGGGAGTTGGTGGCAATGCCCACGGAGAGGGGCTGCTGGATGGGGATGCTCACTCTCTGCCCCCTGTGGGTGTTTGGGCTCTGAGGATGGGAAGAGCTGGCTGAAGACGGGGCTTTCCTCAGCTCCTAAAATACTGGCTGAAGCTTCCACCCCCGAACTGCCCCTTGCAAAACCAAAACCATTTCTGGTGTGAAATCTGATTGGTTTCAGCCATTCCATTTAAAAGATGAGGAGAGACAAATGGAATTTCTGCTGTGAAAATGATGTTAGATTATACTCAGAAAATGTAAAAAGGAGGCTGAAATCAAACCAGGATATTCCAGTGGCTCTGCAGTGAGTTGCTGCTGTTCTGCAATTTGCTTTGCAAACCCCCCAGCAATCCGAATACCAGGTTTTTCTTCTCAGAAAGAAATTTTGGCAGAAGAAATACCAAGTCCTCACCAGTTTCCATGCAGCAGAAATCTCACACTGTCTGCAACCCTGTCCTGCTTTGCAGTTGCCCAGTATTTCTTCCTTGTGCCCATTTCACCTCCCGTTTCTTCTGCAAACACCACGGGGTTTGTGGAGAGCTCAGCCGATATTTCTCTTCCCCAGGGGGCTTCGGCTCAGCCAGTCCCTGCCCCAAAAATCCCCCGGGGAGCGGGGAAGGACTGGGCTCCCTGCAGCCTCCCCATCCTTCTCCATCCTGCGTGGTCCAGACCAGCTCCCTGCCGGCTCTCACTGCTCTTTCCCAGGAGCTCCGTGATGCTCCGAGGTGTCCGGGGCAGACAGGGAGATGGCAGGCAGGGCAGGAGCAGATGGAAAACCATAGGGAAGACCCCAAATCCCTGCCCAACGTGAGGGGAGGGTGGCAGTGCTGAACCCAGGAGCCCAGTCCCTCCCCAGTGCTGTGCCTTTGGGGTGAAGGCTGTTTCCCTCCCAGCTCAGGTGGAAGGACCCAGCCTGCAGCACCAGCTGCCTTCGCCGTCAGCTGTTTCTGATTTCTAATGGGACACCAGCAAAATTATCTTCGTATTTTCGTGGACAGGGTGTGAGGGTGAGGAAGGGCTCGTGCAGTGGTGCAGAGCAGGTCCCGACTGCTCCCTCCGCCGCACTCACTGCTCTATTTGTGCAATTCTTTTGTTAATAATAGATTGTGCATATTCCTGGGTCGGGGTTTTTTTCCCATTTTTTCTTATATGTGTTTGGGTTTGTTTTGTGAATAAATAAAAGCCCTTCGAAAGTGCGCTGAGACCTGGTTTGCTTCCCCGCCACCCCGTCGAAGCCTGGGCAGGAGCAAATGGCTGGGGAACAGGAGATGCCCCAAGCCCAGAGGCAAGGGCTCAGCTCTCGCTGCCAAAAATTGGTGCAAATCCCTTGCCGGCTCCCGAGCTGCCCTCAATTCCCACCCAGCTGGGAGACAAGCTTGGACCCTTCCCCACTCCAGCTCTGGGGCGTACAGCCCTGACCCCCACCAGGCTTGGGGGGGGCGAGATTGGATCCAGCTCTGGGTTTGTTCCCGGTGGGATTTGGCAGCCCCGCGGGCTGCGGGGTTGCTGCTGAAGCAGGTGCGTTGCCATTGTGTGCCTGTATGGGCTCTGCGGTGCTGATGGCAGTAAATTCGGTGTTGCTTGCTAACGATGGAGGAGCAGATGGGAAGAGAAACTGTCCTGGGAGCTGCAGCCCCTACTGCTGCCTGCTGCTGCCTGCAGGGAGAGGCTGTGACCGTGGGGCTGGGGACCGGGAAAGAGGGCTCCTCGATTCGGCAAGGCTTTTCCGCACCCCGATTGCCGGTGGCCAGAGCGGCGGTGTGCTCTGAGACAGCATGTCCCAGCCACCGGACCTCCGTGGACATTGGGGACATGTCCCAGGCTGGTGCAAGTCCCCTCGGGTGGCCCTGGCCCCATGGTCCGGTAGCCAGCATCAGGCTGATGTTGGCTGCCTCTCCACCACTTCCCATGGGCAGGGCTTTTCCAGCACTTTGCTCCCAGTCCAGATTTCCACCAGCGGGGAAACTGAGGCACAGAAGCATCTTGCAGGCAGGCCGTGATGGCACAGTTGGACATGGACTTGCTGGGACCCTGGGAGAGGGCAGGGATGTGGCGTGTGAAGAAAACCTCTCCTTATACTGCATTCCCAGGTCCTGCGTGCTCAGCTGCCCACCCTGCTGCCTCCTCCCCCCCCCACTGCCACCACTGCCTCCCACCTCACCTCCTGCCTCCGGGACAGCTGGGCGATGCCTGGGTCCTGCCGGGAGCAGGAGGGGGGGACAGAGCTGTCCCCGACAGCCCCCAGCCCACACCAGCTGGGGATGGGTCAGAGGGTACCATGGGCTCTGCCAGCTTTGCTCCCCCCCCCCGCTGTGGCTGTGGGAGGTGGGAAGGGGGCTGGTGGCCAGGAGCTGCTTTGGAGGCTGCTGCTTCGTGGGGTGTGGTGGGGAGGATGATGAGAAAGGCTGGCTGGGTTTTCCCTGTTTTCCTTGGGGACTGTGCCTGGAGCCGGCAAAGCTGGGCTGGTTTTTGGCATTACCCCACACCCTCCTCCTCTTCGCTTTAGGCTGAGAAGAGCAGGTCCTGGTCTCCCTGGGCTTCTCCCTTCCACAACCTGCAATCCAGCAAGCAAAGGGTTTCCAGCCAGGAGAGACAGCAGCCTCCTCCCTTGTCTTCCATCCTTTTCTCGCAAAGCCAGTTTGGGATGTACTGGGATCCACAGGGATCCCTCCCTGACACCCCATGCCCAAGCTGGGCATCATCTCCGTGGGAGCAGGGAGTGACAGGCAGGGTGGGAACAGGGTACCAGCACGGGGGGATGCTCTGGCCCTGGCGCAGGGTACCAGCACGGTGGGAGGGATGCTCGGCCCTGGAGCAGGGTACCAGCGTGGGGGGAGATGCCGGTGGTGCGAGAGCATCCCACCATGGGACCACAGCCAGGCCACGGCGGCTGCGTGGGAGCCGGGAGAAGCCACGGTGCCTGCCCAGCTCTTCTCCTCTTGCCGACATCAGCTGTTTCTCTGTGCCCGGAGCAGCTGTGGCTCTGCACCGGTCGATGCCATTGATTAGTTCCTCTCCCCATCCCTGGAGAGCGGACAGCGCGGGGGGCGGCAGGGGGAAGAGAATAAATATTTCAGCAGGTCCAGGCAAAAGCTGGGGTTATTTTGGGGCCGGGATTTATGGGCTATTAGGAATAAGGAATGAGTCTGTGCTGGGGAGAGGAGACCCATTAATCCAGGCTGAAGGAGCACAAATGAGCAAGGGGAAATGGAGGAGGCTTTAATTATTTCACCACGTTTCAGAATAATAAGCCGGCCCTCTGGCCGAGTGCTGGCATGGGGCTCGGGAGCTCTGCTCCCCAGGAACTGGGGCAGGCAAGGGGACACTCACGGTTAAACCCCCCCCCAGCTGTGCTGGGAGGGATGGGGGTCCCGTTCTGGGACCAGTATGAGACCAGTACAAGCAGTGTTGCCGGCTGGGACGTGATATGGAGGATGCACTGCTTGTGGAGGGAGGCTGCAGAGCGCGGGGATGGCTGGTGGGGCCCGTGGGTTGGTGCCTGGTCCCAGGGGTGCCCTTCCTGGGCCAAGCCAGCCCCACTACCCGCCGTGCCCCGTTAAGGCAATCCTGTCTGCGCCTGTAACCGGAGGAGCTGGGCACCGGTGCAGGGGTGAGTCACTGCCGGAGGCAGCCCTGGCCCGGAGAGCAGCCCTGGCTCTGCTGTACCCAGCACCACCTGGGTGACCTTGGGCTGCACTCCACTCCCCGGCTCGCCGTGCCCACCCCCACTCTCCCTGTTGCCTCTGCATCCCCCCCGTGTGCCTCAGTTTCCCCGGGGGCACCTGGGACGGTGGCCCTGGCTCACCTTTTGGCAACCTCAGGGAGCTGCAAGGGCCTGGCTGCCCTGGCTGGGGGCACAATTTTACCCCACGGGGGGCACCGAGGGGCAGATTTACCCCCATTCCCTGCGGTGGGGGGTCCTGGGGATGTGGGGACCCACGTGGCGGGGATGCAGGGCAGGGACAGCCTCGGACCACCTCATCCTCTGACGGGATGGATGAAGACCAGGTCTCCCCGCAGCATCCCTGCGGCACAGCACGTCTTGTTCCCTTGGGAGCACGGCCCAGGGTGCCAAGGTCATCCAGCAGGACCACGGTGGGGTGCAGGAGCCGTTCAGCGCACCCCATGCCGGGTAGCGTCCTCCTTCCCCGCTCCTGCCAGGCCTGCCGCCGCGGCTCCCGCTGACGTCACCTCGCCGGAGCCAGGAGCTATTTTGGGAACTGCAAAGTCACTGGCGCAATTAGTCCGCTGGCAAAGGGAGCGGGGTGGCTGGGGGGACCGCGAGGCCGACTGCTCTCCACGCCGTGCCCGTGTTGTGCCGGGGGGCTGCGTGGCCATGGCCCGTGGGTGCCAGCAGATCTGCACCTCTCCTTGCGCCTGCAGGCTCAAGGGTTCCCTCTGCCAGGGTGAACGGCCACGGTTGCAAATCCTCCCATCCATCATCTCCTCCTCTCTGCCTTCTTTTTTTTTTTTTTGCTTTTAATTTTATTTCATTCTCCTGGCAGGAGCCACCCCACGTGGGCTGCCGAACGCTGGCAAAAGCCAGCTCGCTGCCGCCTCGCTGCCATCGCTTGCATTAGAGAGAGGCAGGAAAGCAATTAGCTGGCAGCAATGCTGGCAACGTGCTTCCCATGGCAATGCCACCAGAGAACCCCACGGGTGAGGGGCTCTCTGGGTGGGAGTGGGGGTCTGGCCGTGCCTGGGCACTCTGCCTCCGGCTGTGCCTTTGGTTTAATCTGGTTAGCATCTTTTTGGATGCAGCCATCAGGATGCAGGATGGGTGCTCCCGACTGCATGGCCAAAACAGCCCCCTTGTCCCCCGTCCCGGGGATGGGGACATGCCACGTGCTGCTGTCACAGCAGAAGGACACCCGTCCCTGGGTCACAGCGCAAGCAGATAGTGGGGTCCTGCCCTGCAAGTG